GGTTTGGGGTCTGAGGAAGCTACTCCCAAGGACCCATTCTGTGTTCCACCTTGTACAGTGAGTTTCTGTCCTGAAGCCTTTGGTAACTTACTAACCTCGATACCAGCTCTATCCCCTAGTTACATAAAAACAAAACATAACCAAGGATGGAGGCCCTAGTTAAGTCTATTTCCTTATACCCAGCCCCCTCTGCCCATGAATACTACCACTTATGTACCAAGGCGTGCCTGGATTTCCCAATCTCACTCACCTGGATGCTCTGTTATTCTACCCTACCTGGTGGAACATGTGTCATTTTGGTGTGGGGAACCCATTGTTCTACTTGTCTGGCCTGAGACTTGGAAAAGTGCTGTCTTGCTTACTCTGGGGTAAGCCTGTGGCATCCTGAACCTTCTCTGTCAGCCTCACCAGCTAGTCAGATTTCCTTCATGGGCTTCCTGCCAGAACCCAGCCTCTCCCTGCCTTCTCTAGCACTCCACAGCTTTCTACAGCTAGTTCAGCCAATAGCTTAGTACAACAAAGCGGCTACCTGCAATCACTGAGATAGAGGGTGATGAGGACAGGCAAGACCATGGGGATTGAGAGGAAAGGATCATCTAAGTAGGAGGAAATAAATAAATGCTTTTAAGAAATAACCAAATGGGAGATGGTAACAGGCAGGAAAGAGTCAAAGAACTCCATGGTTCAAATTCCAGATGCCAAACAAAGCCACATCACAATGCCTAAGATAGCTGGCGTTGGCAAGGGATCTGTTTGGGTTTGGAACATGTTTGTAGACAGTGCTTTTTTACTCCCTCATCCCTCACCCCCTGTGCTGGAAAATACGCAGGGAGTAAAAAAGCATTTTCCAGCACCTTACCTCTCTATGGTGAGCTCCATGAGAGAGGGAACCTGGCTGGCTCATTTGCTGCAGAATACTCGGCTCTGGGACAATGCCTGACGGGCACAACATTTTCAATATAGATATATGCAGACCGTATGAATGGATTCTGTGTTAACACGCTGCCAATCGAATGCTTGGGTAAAAGTGCCCTGGAACCTGGGGTTAAGAGATGTGGGTACTGAGAAGAGAGGATGTGATGAGGAAGGACATGTTAAAAGAATGAGAAAGGCTAAGACACGTAGCAAACTCCCCTCAAAGATTTAGGGGAGATGAGAATGGGAAGAGAGGGTGCAAAAGAGAGTAAGAAAAATCAAAGACAACTAAGACACTGACACCTCTTGGAAATCAAGGAAGAACTAATCAGCAATAGCAAATGTTGAGGTTGAAATAGATAAAAGTAAGAGAGTAGTACTAAATTCATGATTAGGAGGCTTGGAGTAATCTCAGTGGAGTGCTAGATGCTGAGGCGACTGCTGTGGGAAGAAGAATGAAGGTATAGAGAGAAAGTGGGAGCAGCAGGTACAGGTTAGGTTTTAAGATACTTGGGCTTGATGGTAGCACTCTATGAAGAAGTTACAGGCACAACTGTGTTTAGACGGGGGTTTGTATTCTCAGCTTTGGATGTGTGTTTGTATAGGGAGATGAAAGCATATTGAAATATCCAGAGAAAGGGACCTTAGTCTACCTTGCACCCCCAAAAGACAGAACAGGAACAAATAATTATGTAGGGGAAAAAGGGTAAGTAACAGTTGCGTTCCAGTGATAGGAAAGGAATAGAAGCTAGAGATTGGGTTGTACCACACCTACGAAGGGCCCTGTCACTCAGAAAAGAAAAGTAGCCCTAACTGGTTTGGCTCAGTGGATAGAGTGTCGGCCTGTGGACTGAAAAGTCCTAGGTTTGATTCTGGTCAAGGGCATGTACCTTGGTTGTGGGCACATCCCCAAAGGTGGTGTGCAGTAGGCAATTGATCGATGTTTCTCTCTCATCGATGTTTGTAACTCTCTATCCTTCTCCCTTCCTCTCTGTAATAAAGCTATAAAATATATTTAATTAAAAAAAAGTAAAGGAGTAACTGGAAAGGGGCCATGCTTTTGCCCTAGAACCTGACAGCCCACAGACCAGCCCAAATAGAGGTGAAGATACAGGTAGCTTTTCTAATTTAAAGCAAGGTCGGAGACCTGAAAGTCAGGGCACAGACTCATTCTGCCCTACAGGACAAGCTGACTATCACCGCAGGTTGAGAGCAGAACTCTTCTTACCTCTTAGCATCACAGTGAATATATGATTACAATGGCATTCATTACAATGACATTAATAAATCAGCAATGCATCCCATTTCCTACCAATTAAATTTCCTACTGCAGAAATTCAGACTAGGAAAGGTGGTATTAATCACCGCGTAGTGGGACACAGAAAGATTCATGTCTATGCAATTATAAAGCCAGGAGTTTCGGAGAAGGAAAAACACAGAAGAATTACTTTTCTTGGAAAGAATTCATCTTCCTTCATATCCCAAGACATTGTGGCTGTTGCCTAAGGTGTACTTTATAGTTTTCCAGATAGCACATGACTTTGGTCATATCCAGACAGCCAGATTTCTGTTTCTAAGATAATTTATTAAAAGAAGAAAGTATTTTTCTCTTGGTTACTTCCAACCACATCGATTTTCCTCTGTGTGTGACCTCTTCCCTCAACGGGAAAGAAACACGACCTACCATTTTGTGCTGCCCTTCATTCTAGGCCTTACTTACACATTCCACAAAGCTCAGCAGGAATTTAAGCCTTAAACTAAACAGACGTTTAAGGTGATGATAAAATACTTTATAATTGGACACTTGATAACCTCTTATAAGATTCCAGTAAAGCATTAGCCATAGTGTGGGTTTACAAAGAAATCGAGGAAGTCAATGTAGGAAGCAGATTTACAAAGAAATGTTAACACATCCATGTGGCTTGTTTATATTTTGTCACAATTTTTATGGGGAAAAACCCAAATGAGGAATCTAATAACTTTTTCAGATTTTTAATGTATTTTGGTAGTCCTTGGAACTAGAAATATAGTATCCACCAAGAACTTCTTGGAGCTAAACTTATATAAAATCCTATATCAATCTGAGAAGGAAAAAGAGAATACGAAGATGGCCAGGCTATCTTCAGTAAATAGGGGATAACAAAATAATACTTGAGTGTTTAAAATTACTTTTCCTGAATATTCAGAGTTGGTGGGAATACGTTATAGCCTCCCTCCTGTTAAAATAACAAAAAAGAGGTGACCAGGCAAGATGAAGAGGCATTTTGTTGAGGCTGTCTTTAGAAGTTAGCAGCCCAAATTCAGGTAAAGAGCAAGAGAGACAACTGAAGAGGAGTCCATCCTGTCTTCCCAGTTCTCCTTAATGCTACTGTTTAAGAGACTGACTCCCATCTTGAGTAGCCATCAAAACGAGAAGAGCCAGATTCTCCCAATGCTTAGGGAACTGAGAAGGGAGGCACTTCAGAAGGCCAGTGTAGTTCCAGTCACAAGTGAAGAGCAAGGAAGAGCAGGGTGCCCAGAAAGGGGTTGGAAGGAGACCGACAACAGAATCTGGAATTGAAAGCACCTTAGAATTCAACTCATTCAACTCTGATCTGACTTATCAAGGTCACACAGCACCTTGGTGGCAAGGATACTACTGTAACTCCGAGGTCCTCACTCAGCACAGCACTGTCCACCACTTCTTACTGCCTCTTAATCCAAGAAGCCTATAGGAACTGAAGAGGATTCAATAGACAAGTTATCATTATTTCCCTCTCAGCCAAGTTTCTTTTCTTTTTAAAAATATATAATTGTGTTGATTTCAGAGAGGGAGAGAAATCATCAGTGATGACGGAGAATCATTGATCGGCTGTCTCCTGCACTCCCCCTACTGGAATCGAACCCCAGACTCTTTAGTCTGAAGGCCGATGATAAGAATCATAAATCCCATGGACCCATCACAGCTTAAACAATTACCAACTTATGGCCAATCTTCTTTCATCTATACTCACTCCTTTTCCAGTGTTATTTGGAAACAAATTCTAGTTTATTTTAAGTTATTAAATGCTCAAAGATATTATATAGCTGCAAATACATTAGCGATCCTTTTTTTTTAGGAAGCTCTGTGGTATATTTTTTTAAAATCTTATTTCACAGCTCCAAAAGGAAAGGCCAGCTCTTACCTTGGCACAGACCAGTAAGACAGGCTCTATGACCCTGTACACACACTGATGATATTAGACTGTGGTGCAATGAGGAATTTTGATGAAGTGACTGTTTTGGACAATCAGCATGGAAAAAACTGAACTTAAATGAAGATATATTAACAAAATACCACTGATACTGGACACTTGTTTAAGTTGGGCTTAAATCTGGCCTGAGATTTATATCGAGCTTCCTCCATGAGTCCATCTGAAGGGTACTAAATGTTTAATTCTTAAGGTTTAAAAATCCACAAAATAAACTAATGATAAAAAAAAGAACTTTCACGCCAATGGGGTTATTACTCCTCTAGGACAGAGACTAATCCTAAAGACATGATAGAAATATAATATTAAGCAATAAATATAGCAATATTTTTCTTTTATACAGCCATTCAAATTTTGCCGACAGAACAAATGTATTTTTTAAAAGACATTAAAAATTTTTTAAGTTAACAGATAGGATTATGCCACTGGAATGAAGTAGATAGATATACAATTGAGTTGGAGTGTGTGTGTGTGTGTGTGTGTGTGTGTGTGTGTGTATTTTGTCACAATTTTTAGGGGGAAAAAACCCAAAAGTCCACACACGCATGGAATGGATACTTGCAGCTACAATGCTGGCAAATTACATTTCTACTCCTAATTTTCCATTTGACTTCCCCCTCCCTACACATCAGTTTTCATGTGAATTTACAACTATATAGTCACAAGACTATCCAAGAAAGCCAAAATGATTAGAAAACAAAGGCTAGTCAGAATTCAAAGTTGTTTCATCCTTAAATGAAATAATTTCACTTTAAATATGAATTTTTTTCCAGAATAAAATCCCTGCAAGCCTCAATTTTTTACCTTTAGATGAATTTAACAATTGCTCTTCTAACAAAGTTATGATATTCATACCTGCTGAGGTTTCTCTGAATTTGTCACTGGTCTTCTTTTTCCTCCATTTCCAAGGCTTAAAGATTTTGCCGATGGTGGAGAGCTTCCCTTTCCTCTTGAAGGGAGGTGTCTGGGAGCCTGCTGCAGGGCCATCGGAGTTGGCTATGGAAGCTTTGTCCAATCCGTCAACTGCATGAAGAAACACAAGGCAGGGGAAAGCCGTCATGCCAGTGGGAAGAACATCACCCATTCCTTCCTGCCCCGTTAACAGCAAGCATGCCCACTTTACTTGGAATCTCAGATAAAGTCTACTTTGCCCATTTCCCAACTGGCTGAACTCCCCTGACATCAATTGGTATAAATGAATCAGAAATTATAGTCCCCTTAGATAATCATTTTGTGGATGCAGAGAAGCAAGGGGCTTAGTTAATAGGTAGGGCCAGACCAAGCGTGGGTCTTTGAAACAGCTGAATCTATGTGCAACCACTACATCAATACTTCGTGCAAAATAGAACATCCTAAATATTTCTGAAACAGGATGTTTCCCCATAGGCTAGTTTGGCATTCTCAGTTAGTTTCTCCTTCACAAAGTAAAATTTAGAGCCCAGAGGCTAAATTCTAATTTTCACAATGCTAAAACTACCTTTTGCTTCTATTACAAAAGAAGTTTTCAGCCTCAAAGAAAACAACAATAAATGTGGGAAATGTGGATACTGTGAGTGACAGAATCTCTCTTTACGTGCCTGGGTCATGTTATCAACCAAATGAAGATACAAAACCTATGCTGCCTTGCACTACGTTCAAAGCAGAAGAAAGATAGTGATGACATCTTACCCCAACTATCACATTTTAATGGCAAAAAACTGGAATGAGCCCCTAGTGGATAACAGAATGTAATTTCTGCAGTGAAATAGCACTTAGCAATTTTTTTTAAAAAAGAGCAACCTGAACACATCTCAAAAACATTGTGCTGGGGGGAAAGCAACACGCAGAAAGTGTACACTGTGTGGTACTATTTATATGAAGTTCTAAAGAAGACAAAATAAATTTATGGCCATTTCCCTCCTCTTCCCCCCCCTCCCCCATAAAAAAAAAGAAGGAATGGAGAGAGCGAAGGAGAGAGGGGAGCAGAACAATAATCACTTCTTGGGAGTGAGGTGGTGGTGAGAAGTGAGAAGAGGTGTGAAGAACTTTTTGGGGTGATGGAAATGATCTCAATAAGGGATGGATTATACAAAACCCATCAGATGGTAATTATGATATTGTACACGAAACTTTATGTAAAATTTACCTTTAAAAAACCCCATAAGTAATGAACAACATAAACTGATGAACAAAAATAGAGCTAGAGGGGGGAAACTATATTTTAGATTATAATAGAAGTAATCCTATTATTTGTAGATTTTTTAATATTTCCCACAACTTTTGTGATATCACACTATGACAGTACAGTTTTAGTAATATTATTATACTTAAAATCCCTTTTTGTTCTTGAAATTTTAATGTTTATTGCATGTAATATTATTATATTTAAGATCATGTTTCTTGAATAAAAAACAAAACCCCTAAGTAGTAAAGTCCAATTAATAATATTCAAGCTGATGTGTTTATGGATGAAGTATACTGATGTCCACTAAAAATAATAAATGGATGGAAAGATGGAATGGACAAACACAGGGTGGGGCAAAAGTAGCTTTACAGTTGGTAGTACTTGAAACAGTTTATTCTTGTTATTATTATATCATTTTCCATATGAACAATTATAAACCTACTTTTGCTCCCTCCTGTACACAATAAAGTAAAATTAGAAAAATGTTATGTTCAACCTAAGTGGTGGATAGGTGGTGGTTAACTGTTCAGCTGTTTCATTTTCAGAACATTTCAGAACAAAATATTGAGAAAAACAAATCAAAACAAAAAATGGAACGGCAAGGACTTCTGCTTGCAGGAATGGAGCAGATTCATTTTTTTCTATTTCTCCTGCTAACTACATGTAAAAACCCTGAGTGTCACATATAAAGCCAGCATAGGAAGACTCTGCAAGGTGAAGAGGGAGTAGACCAGTTTGGGACCTCGGGACCCAAGAAACAACATGGAAGTGAGATTCTGGGGTTTTCTTTCTTTCCTCATGTACTAGTTTACCAGACTTGTCGTTGAAGCAGTCACCAGTAGTCTTAGACCAAAAAGGCCTCAACAGCCCTGACCGGTTCGGCTCAGTGGAAAGAGCATCGGCCTGCAGACTGAAGGGTCCCAGGTTTGATTCCGGTCCAGGGCATTTACCTTGGTTGCGGGTACATCCCCAGCAAGGGGTATGCAGGAGGCAGCTGATGTTTCTCTCTCATCAATGTGATGTTTCTCACTCTCTATCCCTTTCCCTTCCTCTCTCAAAAAAATCAATAAAATATATTTTTAAAAAGTAAAATAAAATAAAAAAATAAAAAGGCCTCAACAAAAGCCAAAGGAGCAGGCAAGGAACAGCCTAGCGAGACTGAAAACTTTTAAACAATAACTGCTCTACTGCTCACCACAGAAGAAACAGACCATCCATGACAACAAAGGCTGAATGGAGATACTAGACTGCTACCCTCATGAACCTCAAAAGGGGAACATGGACTTCCAACCATACTAGGCAGTAACGAGGTATCTCTCTTCCTCCCTTCACCCACTATTGGGGCAGTATCCAGCCATTGCCCAAAGGAAACACCATTCCCACCCATTGTGGTGTCAGTGGTGACCACGTGGGGATCTGAAAATCTCACTGTGCCCAACAATAACAAGGAGTGACCACCACCCCATTTCCACCACCAGGTACCAGCAGAGGACAAGTGAGGAACCTGGAATTTTCCCTCCACCAGGCAGTAATGCAGTAGCACCTCTTGCTTCCTATGCTGGAGCAGTCAGACAAAGCCATTTAAACAAAAGTTTCAATAAAATTGAGAGTCACATCACATAATACAAAAATGTCTACATTTCAATAAAAAAATTACTTGACAAACCAAGAAGCAGGAAAATCTTAAGAATGAATTAAAAAAAAAGATAATTAGTACATGTCAATGTCTAAATCCTTAAAAGTATTTCTTTCAAACAAACAAAAAAAGAATGATAAATTCCATTCTCACTGGTGAAGTCTACTCTAATTTCAGGTAGAAATGTAACTTCTTCTATGTATGGCTCCTTACCTATTTTACCTTGCCCATGTTGGCCATAGTGCAACATAGTGCGAGAGAGAGAGAGAGAGAAAGAGAGAGAGAGAGAGAGAGAGAGAGAGAGAGAGAGAGAGAGAGAGAGAGAGAGAGAGAGAGACTGATTTTAAAGCCAAACCAGAGTGAAGAAGTAAAATCCTTATTTATTTCACTCTCATTCCTGTCCAACTGCCTTCCTTAAATGAGGGGGAAACCCAGGGAGGAACTAAGTGTATGGTACTTCTTTTTCCCTGAGACTTTATGCTGAAGGGCTCAATTCTGAATAAGTTAAATGTTGTGAAATATAAAAGGACTGACTATTACACACACAGGAAGTTAAGTTTTCATCCCAAATTCACCTCTGTAGTTAGAGACACACATCCTAGTTCTCGTTTTCTCTCAACCCACATATCCAATTCTACTCCATAAAAATTCTGTTTTGCCCAGGCCAGGTGGCTCAGTTGGTTGGAGGGTCATCCCATACACCAAAAAGTTGTGGGTTCGATTCCTGATCATGCACACATGTAGGTTTTGGATTCAATCCTGGGTTGTGGCACTTATGGGAGGTAACCAATTGATTCTCTCTCTCTCTCTCTCTCTCTCTCTCTCTCTCTCTCTCATTTTTCTTAAAGCAATAAAAACATATCCTCGAGTGAGGATTGAAAAAAAATTTGCTTTGGACTGGAACACCTTAAGAATAGTATTTCCCCCCCACCCTGAAAACAAAAGTAAACAAACAAAAGAAAATCAAATAATTCCCTAGATGCCAGATGGGGAGATTGAGTGAGGTAGTTGATAAGTGAGAAATGAAAGCCTTAATGCTAAATCCATCACTGTATAAGAAATTAACAGCCATTATCTTCCTTCATTATGCATTTGCAATTCTAGACTTTATCTGTACTCTGGAAACAGCTTGGGCTAGTGCCAAACACACACACATACTCTCAGACATAGTTTCCTGAGTGAATGGATACCCCTGCAATTTTATAATTGGGCTATTATAGTAAACCACACTTGCAATTAGAAACCATGTGTTGGCAACGTTGGCCAAATTGCCATTGTACTTCTCTTACACCATGACCATGAAGGGGACTGTTACCTGCTTTGGAGTAGTATAAATAGGACACTAACTCTCTTCTTTCCTGCAAACACCTGGGATACAGCCAGTGCCATAGATAATTCTATAATTCTTTCTTTTTGATGAATTTACCATTACAATTAGCTTGAAACTTTCTAAAAACGTTTCATAAGTATAGGGAATTTTGTATTACATGTAGAGAACAAATTGCCAGGTTAATCCCAGATGAACATGTCCTGACAGCTTTCAATGTTCCATATTTACCCACTTCCACGTTATCAAGAGTAATCCGTCATTCATCAGAACTTTCCTTTTCACACTTGAGATCAACACTTCAAAACATTTCAAATATCATTTAAATAGTTAAAATATTTTGCATATAGTCATTCATTGTTCAAATGCAGTAATTTTATTTTTTAAAATATGTTTTTATTGATTTGAGGGGGAGAGAGATAGAAAATCAATGAGAGAGAAATATTGATCAGCTGGGACCTACAACCTGAACACATGCCCTGATCAGGAATTAAACGGGTGAACTCTTGGTGCATGGGTCAGTGCTCAACCACTGAGCCACATCAGCTAAACTTTAAATGACACAGCTCAGTCTATTTTCTCACCAAAATAAGCTCACACCCAACAAGACTTCCCTACACCACCAACTGCTAAAAATTCAGACGTTTTATTTTTCATTTAAACAGAATTTATCATGTAAGCAGTTCCATTGCACACGTGACCACAAATGCTAGGGAATTACCATATAAAATAAAGTGTAGGTTTGGATAGTCTTCCCTCTGAGATCTGAGAACTGATTGACATGGATTCTTAGAAAAATTAAGTCTAATAAAAAAGTTTGTAGAATTTTTATAATATTGGGTAGTTATGTGGCAATTTAAGACATTTATTTTAGATTTTTCTCAACACATAATTAT